TATTTTTAAATTTGTATACAGGTTGACTTGCTATTGTCAGAGCAATTGAAAGCGTTGTTTACTTTGATTAAAAGCAAAATTTATAATAATATACTCAGCAAATATGAAAAAAAAATTCTAAAAAGGAAGTCAAACAAATTTGTTAGATTATAATTGCCCGGCTACTCACAGCGTATAGTAGCCGTAATTGCTTTCCATATTCAAATTATATTCGAGAGATTTGGGGCTATAACAAAACACGCACAGACACAAATCCTCAACGACCACAACGACAACAACAGCATAAAAAGCACAAAGTCCATTGTGGGGCATGTTTTGGTTTGGTGCGTTTACATATTTGCCCAGACTTAGTCTCGAGTTCCCTGGTTGCCGTCCCTGCATGCCTCGTTGAACCTTGGCCAAAAAATGGCCGTGTAATTTGTATGAAATTCGCCTTCAGACTCGAGAACTCTAAGTGCTCCGGTGTTGGCAAACATTTCAAATTTCGAATGGAAGAAAAGAAAAATATATACTTATATATGTATATAGATGGGGAAACAACGGAATAGAGCAGTTGCTCAGTCGCTCACATAGGCTGGATTGTTGCCTTATTTACATTTGGCTCGAGGTTTTTTTGCGTTTGTTTGCAAGAGGCGTGTGAAGGGGGAGGGGGGGGGGGGGGAGGCGGTCTATTCGGGTCACTCAATAGCATGCCCCTGGCCGTAAATTCATGCAAAAACAATCTTATTAATGGCTATAAGGGCCGCCCCGCATGCCCGCACACAGATTGTGTTAATAATGTTTAACTGCGATTTTTATACGCGTTTTCTATTTTTTGCCGTTCGCCTTTTTTGTTGCTATTGCTGTTGTTGTTATCAGCGCCTGGATTTCCTGTTGCTGTCTGCTGTTGTTTGCCAATTTTAGCCATTTAGTTTGATTTCAGTGTTATCTTTATGTGCTCTCGCTTATCGTTCTTCCATATACCCAGTAATGGGCTTAGCCCCATGGCCCAAAGGCCTAACAGTGGGCACGACATTTATCACAAAATACAAGAACCCCCGGGCTCAGTTCGCTCAAATCGCATCAACTCTGACAAGTAGTGGCTGTCACGTGAGGGTATCACAGTTTATGTACACACTTTGGCACAGCAAGGTGCTCTAGGAGCTACAAGATGATGTTATCATAATTATTTATTATATATGTTAAATTATAATGAAAATAGTTTTTCAATTGTATAGTCAAGGCAATATTCAGCTTAAATGAATCTAAAACTATTTTATTGATTTTTCCAATCATTTATTGCTTGCAGCATATGAAGAAATATAGTGAGGGTATTTGCGGTTCATTGCTTCTTTTTGATCGCATTATATTTATTATTATTGTTTTATTTGAATGCTTTCGAATTTTGTATACAATTTATGAAGTATATCATAAAAATTAAATGCAAATACTGAGTCACTCAGATGTTTAACGACTTGGCCTCATTGCGAGTGCATTGTGCGCTTAAATGGAAATAAATTCTCTAATTAGTTGTTGAGCACATAAATCAGCAAATAAATATTCCCGCCACAGTGTCTCACAGCTATATGCGACTATGTACATGTGCACATATATGTATGTATGTGCATATGTGAATAGATACTCGTCGATGAATAATGCTCGAAATTTCAACAATTTGCAAAGTGGTCGTCGCTTTTGGCATGAGCAATAATTTTAAGTGGTTGCTGTTGTGTATTTTAATTAAATATTTCTTGTTTCCAATCGAGACGATTGGATATCATGACATTTACACTAAACACATGTTTACATTTCAGTCTCTCAATTGCCCATCTGTCTGTCCGTCTGTCCGTCTGCCTGCCTGTCTGTCCGTTTGTCCGTTTGTTTGTTTGGTTTTCCATCCATCAGCTGTTCAGTAATTTCTTTGATGCGTGGCAAAACTTTCACAGCTTGGAAAACTATCGCTAGAAAAACTTTGTAATTAATTATCATAAAAATAGCCAAGTTGATTAGTACAAAATGCTAAAAGGCTGCCCAGCATCATCATCATCATCATCATCCGAAGCATCCGAAGCATCATCATCGTCAACAGCCAGCTGAGCATTGATCATACACAAGAGCAGTAGCTGGCAACTTTGGACTGAGCTACTGGCATCATTAGTGGAATTTATAGCCAAGTTAATGGCATAGTTCTCTCGAGTAGCTGTATGTGTGTGTGTGGGAAACAGCTTAAAAACTAGTTAAGGGCTGCTTGGTTGTGGCTGAGCTACTTTTTGTTATATATATTTTCCAGCTGTAAGCAACGAAACACTCATGAGTCCTACACGCAAGCATTGTTCTACAACAAATGGTATAAAGTTGAATAAAATTAAATAGAAAGTGCTCTACTTGAATACGCAGAAATGTTACAGCAACAACAACAATGTGTAGACTATTTATACGTCTCATAGTTGATTCATTTAAAATGAATTCTATAGAATTTTAGTTTGTAATTAAAACCCAAATGCCTTTGACAAAGAAAATTAATTTGCTTGTGCTATTCCATGTGTGAAATGAATTTAAAAGAATTTCAGCCTTCGAACCGTAGCATACAAATCCTAACTAAATTACAATGCGACAATAGAAAATAAAAGTAATAATAGCAAGTGGAACTGTTGGCCCTCTTCCATTAAATCTGATGTAAGGGAGGGATCTCTTGACTGTCGTTCCACTTTGTGACAGGCAAGAAAAGGAACAAAAAGCCATAAAACCTTTCACGTGCGCCAAAAAGTAGGCAATATATTTTGTACTTATAACTGATGAAGACGAAGTAGTAGATGCCATTTATTCAATAAATGTTTCACCTAAAAATTAATGATAAAAAAAAGCAGCACAGTAAGCTGCCATTAATGTGAGTGGTGTTTGGACTACCAAACGCCTGGCTTCATTATAACCCAGCCCAGCTGAGAGATAAATTGTTCTGAAAAAATGGTGACAAATGCATCAAAATTAAAATTACCAAGTGCCGCAGCAGACGCCGCCCGAAGGACGCGTCAAGGAGCTGCCGAGAATCGGCTGGATGACACACTCAAGCTGCTTTGTGCTGCCTTGTTAGTAATCATAATGTGCGGGATAAGCACGATGCCGATGATGATGATGATGACGAGCTTGATAATGATTTTGATGATGTTTATGGCTTGAGTAGTTGCCGCCATTGTTGTGGCCCCTTGTCTGTCGGGCCCCTTGTCGCGGCAATATAAAATTCTTAACTGCCATTTTTTACGGAATTTCCCCGTTTCTCAGTTCGTTTTGAGCAGCGGCTGCCCCGTGGCCGTTTGTTGCCAACCTGCGGATCGCCCAGATAGACCGGATTTCGGGCAAACGCTTTACGCACTTCCGCCTATTAATTTATCAAAGTTATTATATTTTGTCTGTGCTCGCGGCGAACAACAATTTTTGACATTCCTTCATGTTGTGGATTCTAATGCCACAAGGCAGGAAATGAGATGAGAATCACAACAATTTTTTTCACTTGTCGCCTTTCTGTTTGGGCTGAGAGCTAACAAAATTGAATTGACTTACAGAATTTAAAATTTTTTACTTGAAATTAGCTGCCCACATTTGCAGTTGATGATGCAACAGGATAAGCCGCTTGCCACAGAACATTGCCATCCGGTGCGTAAGCCGTATTAAAGTGTTGTTGTTTGTGCAAACATCTCTTAAAGCTGCAGGATGCCAACTTTTGTTAACCAAAATCCAATTCACATTCGCATTCGCATTAACATGAAGGACATGATTATGATTAAAGACCATGGGGCACACAGTCTACTTAGTTGTACATGTGTGTGTGCCAGTTGCAAACTTTGAAACTTCTATGAAAGGCAGCTTTCATTGAAACAGAATTCTAATGAGCTCTGGAAAATTATCAAACAGTTTTTCAGGGCTAAATTAATGTAGTCATGAAACGGAAATTGCAATTCTTGGAAGCTATGCACTGAAAGCAACTAAAACTTCTGTCTATTGAAAGGATTTTTAGTTTTTGTGTTCAATTAACTGGAATTATCTATGGGTTGGGCTATGCTCATTCAGCATAAACTACTGTTTAATATTTGGCTTTGTAGTTTCTCTTAAAAACAACAAAATAATAGAATTATGCCCAATTCTGTAATAAACACTGCATACGCAACAACAAGAGAAATTCCATAACTAACACTAAATAAAAGTTTTTTATTTGAGGAATTTAGTTGAATATCAAAATTTTTAGAATGAATTTTATGGTTTTGCATTTTGTAGAAATTGTTGTTCAACATAAAACTCTATGCATATAATACATATGTGTAATGCTGATTGTGTGCAAAAGCTGAACTTGAGATAAATTAAAAGTCACCAGCTTCGAGTACAAAGGATTTTATGTTTAATTGTCAATAATTTATTTATACTCTTTACCTTTTGTCTGACAAATCAAAAACGATATTCACACAATTTCGACTGAGTACAGCTAAACACTATCAAGTCATGTTATTATACACCAGATTATATCATCTGGAGTAGAGACAATTGTTGATTTGTTCTGACGTCAGGACGCCGTGACCTTTCCAACTGTAGTTATATAAACTGCCCTTAGACAATATTTAAGCTTGAATCCTAATGCCACACTTTTACTTCCGCCTTGGCGCATTTTGCTGCCACATTGTTTTTAATAAAGCCAGCGCCAGCCTCCACCCCCCCAGTTGCCCCTGGCGATGGCAGACGGGGGACAGTGTGTGTATAAGGGCAAGTGAGAAGGCAAATAAAATAGATGCCAGTCAAGGCAACAGCTTAATCCATTGGGACAATGGCGAAACAAAAGCGCAATGCACAGCGGTCGGCGCGGTCGGGCCAGAGCGGAACAGGACGCGGCGGGGCAGGGCGGGGCAGGGCAGAGGAGAATAAAGTTTGTTTCAAATTCCAACTAAGAACTAATTCCGTACGAAGAAAGTTTTACATTTTAAACAAATCTAATGCAAGTTGTATACTGATTTTTCATTGCGCTTCTTTCTTTTTAGAATTCATGCAATTAGCAATGAGCCACATATTACAGGAAACTTTCTGAATGCGAAAAACATTAAAGATAGAGATAAACTTGAGACGTGACTGCGCCCAGACGACGGATATGGCTGCTTAAGTGGCGCACTTCCGGTGAATCCGGACAGGAATAAGCAACAACAACAGCAACAACCAACTCAAGCACAGCCGCAGTTATAGCCTTGGCCGCATCCACAGCCACCTCCGCCAGCTTAATCTCAATCTCCAACTGAAAAGCGACTCATTAGGTATCCAAACAAAGTCCTTAAGCATGGCCAATGTAAGCAACGAGACGGTTAATGCTTGGCTGGTCTCGGTCAGCACACAGTTGCCGCATGTACTGGGCATAAATGTGGGCGTCAATTGGAGCAGCACCACCACAACAATGGCCACACCCGGCAGCAGCATGGGCACCACCACAACTAGCACGGCGAGCAGCCTGTCCAGCGATGCGAATGCGGACGCGGTCGCGGATGCTGATAAATCGGGCATTATACACAATCAGTTCGTGCAGATCTTCTTCTATGTACTGTACACGACAGTGTTTGTACTGGGCGTATTTGGCAATGTGCTTGTCTGCTATGTGGTGCTCAGGAATCGTGCCATGCAAACGGTGACCAATATATTCATTACCAATCTGGCGCTATCAGACATTTTGCTTTGTGTGCTTGCCGTGCCCTTTACGCCATTGTACACATTTATGGGTCGCTGGGCATTTGGGCGTACTCTGTGCCATCTGGTCTCCTTTGCCCAGGGCTGCAGCATATATATATCGACGCTGACGCTGACCTCGATTGCAATCGATCGCTATTTTGTGATCATATATCCGTTCCATCCGCGCATGAAACTCTCCACATGCATTGGCATCATCGTGAGCATTTGGGTGATCGCACTGCTGGCAACGGTGCCCTACGGCATGTACATGAAGATGACCAACGAGGTGATGGATAACACCACCCAGCTGGTTGGCGCGAATCATACGAGCAGCAACCGGTATGGCAACTATGGCATTGCCACGCCCGATGCCACATCGGCTGCCCAGGCCTACATGCAGGTCATGACCGACGGCGTCACTGTCTGCGAGGAGAACTGGCCATCGGAGCATTATCGCAAGGTGTTCGGTGCCATAACCACGACGCTGCAGTTTGTGTTGCCATTTTTCATCATATCCATTTGCTATGTATGGATCTCGGTCAAGTTGAATCAGCGTGCCAGGGCCAAGCCGGGCTCGAAGTCGTCGCGACGCGAGGAGGCGGATCGGGATCGCAAGAAGCGCACGAATCGCATGCTTATCGCCATGGTGGCTGTCTTTGGTCTCAGCTGGTTGCCCATCAACTTGGTGAACATATTTGATGATTTCGATGACAAGTCGAATGAGTGGCGGCTCTATATGCTGTTCTTCTTTGTGGCCCACTCGATTGCCATGAGCTCCACGTGCTACAATCCCTTTCTGTACGCCTGGCTGAATGAGAACTTTCGCAAGGAGTTCAAGCATGTGCTGCCCTGCTTCAATCCATCCAACAACAACATCATCAACATCACCAGAGGCTACAATCGCAGCGATCGCAACACCTGCGGCCCGCGTCTGCATCATGGCAATGGCGAGGGCGGCCCTGGCGGCAGTCTTGATGCTGATGATCAGGATGACAATGGCATCACACAGGAGACCTGCCTGCCCAAGGAGAAGCTGCTCATCATACCGCGCGAGCCCACCTATGGCAACGGCAACGGTGCCGTATCCCCAATACTCAGTGGGCGTGGCATCAATGCAGCCCTCCTGCATGCCAGCCAGCCACAGCAGCAGCAGCAACAAGTCCAGCAGCAGCAGGTGGAGCTGACGAGACGCATTCGCCGGCGCACAGACGACGATGCCGACTTTATAGACTCCGGCGATGAGCAGACGGTGGAGGTGCGCTTCAGCGAGACGCCGTTTGTCAGCTCCGACAATACGACGGGCATCAGCATGCTGGAGCCGAGCGAGACCCTGTTCCAGGACTCAAAAGAGCTGCCCGAATTGAGCGCTGTTGTGGTTGGAGATGCCACTAGGCAATGTAACTGAGACAGGGTGAGTACCACGAGCAAGTATTTATTATGCAAACAATTGAAGGAAGCCCATTCCCATGTCTGTCAGAAAACATTTCTCAAGTGATATGCCAAATATTTAAAAGTGTTTATGGCTAATGCACTTTCTAGATAAATGCCACTCAAAATCAATTTCACATATTTTGTCTGTATCAAAATCGAAAAAGCAGCAGCATAATTTATTCAGAGCGAAAGAAATGTTAAAAATTTGTGCCATATCATCATATGACGGCATCATGGAAAATTTTGCGCACCACAAAAAGGAAATCAGCGCAAATATTTCGATGATGCAATCTATTTTCCGACAAAGCGTTGCCCCATAAAACTAGGTTAGGAACCTGCATGAGTTTCATGAGATTTGCAGTACCACAAAGCGCTCTTCATCAAGCATGGATGGGGTTGGGGCTTTGAGGTTCGGCTTATGGCGCACAGAAGCCAAGCAAAGCAGAGCTGCATTTGCCATTCGTTTCTTATGCTTTTTGTGCTGGCAAATTTCATTTGCTTAGCTCTAACTCGGTTGCACTCGACGATGGTACGAATATTTTCAACCAAGTCAAGGTAATAAATCAACAGTGAGTGCGAAAGTAACTGCCACTGTTGGAACTTATCGCAAGTCATTGCACAAATCTAGCTTAACAGCAGACAAATTAATTAAATTCGAAGAACAAAAGCAAACATATGAATTATAAATATGTCGAAGCTGCAAGAAAACAAATTCAAATTGAATTGTTTTTCTATTGATCTTTATACACATGAGTTTATTAAAAATCGTACGAAATGTACAATAAAACGAATTAAATTATTTAAGAAAATATATTCAAATAAAGGAAGATTATAACATGCATCTATTAGACAGGTAGTCCGCTTCAAGTCCTTGAAAAATTGTCAGAAATGCAAGAATATTTACAAGAGGGATTTTACTTTAAATATGCTAATACAATTTGCCATACCATTATTTATAATTTTATTTATACTTTCAAAAAGTTCACAGAAAGACTCTAACATGACAAATTGAAAGTACATTAGATATTTTGTTGTAAGCGAGCGTACATTTGCTTCTTCTTCCACGTTGTGGGTCCTAATCTACATTTAAAAGTCAAAGTAAGAGTAAGAGTCGAGAGAGACAGCTTGAAAAATACTTGCAATCGATTAGAAAAATATGTTAAACGTGCCGACCCTTTGGGTCAGGTGTTCTCCACAATATGCTGTTTACCATAAACAACAAGTGGAGCAAAATTTACAGCCATAACAACAACAACAACATGTAAACAAATAACCAACTGCAGTAGTCAGATAAATGCTATGGATAATGGTTAACAGCCGGTGGCCAAGATAAGGCGAACTCCCCCATAAACATAATGCTTTGACGCAGTATAATTTACATTTGGCTTATTTATTTATAATTTTTATGGAAAGCACATTATGGTGCTATCTGTCTGTGTCTGGGACTGAATATCTGTTAGAGCAGCGGCATACTTGAACCGAAATGGCCAGTCATAAAATATATAAATAGCGCTGGCATTGAAATTCTATTTGATTAAAAGATGATTTACTGTATTAAGAGGCCATGAGGGTCCGCGGCAGAAGCAACAAATTTTGATAAATTGTATAAAATCTATATCCGCAAATAGAACTGCGTAGTACTAGCAGATGTACTAGATAAGATTATATAGAATTAGATTATCTAGTTTCTCACTTTTAAAGATATCTTAATAAAACTTAATAGGAATATATATATTTTTGAGATCCCGACAAAAATGTTCCCTTTAATTCAAATGCAGCCATAAAAGAAAAGAAAGTTGTGGAAAACTCAGCAAAAACCAACCGGAAATGATGTTTAGCTGTTTTCAGCCGTTTTTCAATCCGACTGAATTCAGATTGCTTGATAGCCTTTACAAATATATTCCTTAACATTTGTATACGTTATTCTTTCTCTCACTCACTCACCCACTTACTCATTATCTAGATACATATATACATAAATTCAGATAACTTGTTGTTGTTGCTGTTTACATTTTGGCCATGTTTGCGGTTGGCTTTGATGCCAGACCGAGCTAAACATATGAGCGCAATTCCGAGATGTCCGAGAGGCCTTTAATTTATGAATAATTCAGTGCGGTCGTTAGTGGCACACACTATGCTGTTCAGTTCCTAATTACCCGCTGGCATGTGGGCCGCCATTATGGGTCACGTGGGTGGTGTGAGGTCTGAGGCCGGTAAATAAGCTGAATGCACGGCTTGCGTTGGACGGAAGTCGGGTGGGTGGGCTCTCATACAAAACGAAAGAAAAAAAACAACATTCCTTGAATGCCTGTGCTCAGACCCGGCTCGGACTTGTACTTTGGTATCTCTGCTCCCTAAACAGACGCTTTGAATTATGGAATCACGATGGTGGTGACTGAACGGTAAGTGATATAGTTGATGGTCCCTGCTCGGGCGCCAGCACATTTGATGCATTATGCATGAGAACTGCAACAGGAATTGCAAACGGCATTTGTCGGACTTGCAGACGAAGTCAGCAAAGTTTGCACTCGTAGTGGGAGCTCTTAAAGGAACGGCGAGGGGTCCATCATGGACGGAGGGGGGCTGTCAGCGGACGCACCCCTTAGTGTGCCGTCCCTGTAAACAAGTTTGCCAGCGAGTTAGTGCGAAACTTTTTACAACTAAATTGTATTTTGTTGTTTGCTGTCTGGTTTCTGCGAATGGCAAATGGCCCAGAACTTGTCTCTGCCTGATGGAGCAGGATGCGCTGCGGGGAGTATATTGGACAAGCTGACTCTATAGAATGCTAACTTTACAATTGCATATCAAGCGATCCTTTTTTTTTTCCAGCTGTTTCTGTTGCCAGTTTGTTAGTTTTAAAATGCCATCAGTTTTCTGCCGCACAATGCGGCGGCTTCTGCTGCTTCTGATAAGCTTCGTTGGCCAACTTTTCACACAAAAAACTGTAAGCTGAGGCCCATCATTTACTGAAAAAGTTCTGGCATCTCCATTTCATGTAATCAATTTTGCAACAATTTAGAATATTCACCGCACTAAGTTTGCAGTACTGAAATGCCGGAGCAAACCGCAGTCCCTTTTGATAATAAACTCGGATATTTTTTGTCAAGAAATGCTTTATGCTAAGTTTGTTTGCAGTATTGAACATGGGACTGCCCACAGAATAGCTCCAAATACCAATTCCATTAGCGGTAATAGAAATGAAAGCGAAACATAAATTTATTTTTAACAAATAGTTGGGAGCAAGGCTCAAGCCCGGAATTCCAAGAATGAAACGGAACTGAACCAAATTTTGTATAAAAAATGTTTAGTTAAAAGTAAAAAAAACGTTTAAGCCCAAAGCATAAATAGCTTTGTTCCCAACCATTTTATTTAACTAACCAGATAGTTTAAATGAAATTCGTGGGTAGGGATTAGATATAGCCCGCAGCTTGTATATGAAAATATTTACGGCTTGCAATATTTTCAGTACATCGGGCGAATATATGTGTATGTTAAAGAAATCAAAGCTTAATGAGCTGAACCTGCAGGCAGTAAATTTAGTTCAAGCTGTAAACAGAACTACCGAAAATTTTAGTTTTTGTGCTTGGAACTCTTTTAAATATATTGAAGTGCATTAATTTTGTTCTAGAAACGAAGTGCGTTTGCATTTCTAATGCCAATCAATCACACTAAAAGTGCACAAGTGCGTTGTAAAATCTAAAGAGCCTGATTAAACCAATACTAAATCGTTGCATATAAAACTCCAACATAATGCGCCACGCCCCGCTTTCTCGAGGAAGGCAAATGTTTCAGTCGTTATTGTTGTCTTTGTGTGTTGTGTGTGGATTTAATGGCTACAATAAGAAGGTCTTTAGCTGCTTGTGGTTCATACATAAATATACACACACATATACACTCACACACACACGAAAACATGTAGAGGATAAGATGTTTTCGATATGTACTTACAGTCAACGTAAAATGTTTTGGCCATAAAAAAAATGATTGCCGTGCTTTCATTTTTGTATTCGCGCGATTTTAGCAGTTCTTAAATTCGGTTTTGACGTGTCATGAAACATGTGTTTCATTTGCTACTAGAGGGTCACGGGGATGGGGGCGGGGAGAGAGCTTGATGATACGCATTTATATTTTATAACCTCACCATCAATATGTGTATTAGCCCAACGGATTCATGTTGACGGCAGCTGGTGCATAAGCCAACTTGACTGACAGTCAGACAGTCTGGCAGTTGGGAGGAAATAAAAGCGATTAATGGAGTTCCCAGCGCCAAATGGCAAGTCTCTAATTGACGTTTGGAATCGGTTGTCCCTCATGTGGGTGCCTACAGGGAGCTATTCAGCTGCTGTAATCGATAGCGGAGCAGCTGACTCCGAGATTAAGAACTGCGCCCTTTGACCGACAGATTGGCATTAAAAGGCAAATCAATGTACTCACTATAAATACAGCAACTCGGGACTACTATTGATAGTGGAATTCTTGATACTCTATAATCATTTGTAAATATATAAATAAATGAACAAAATTTTATAAATTACCCACAATTTTGTTATGTTAGTTATCATTTTTAGTAGACTTAATAGTCCTGTCAATGTTAATTTACATCAATGTAAGTTAACATACGCATAACATTTTAATATGCTCATTGCTCATAGAAAGAGAGAGATACAGAGAGAGAGAGACGGGTTAGAAAATGCGATAGAGAGAGAGAAAGAGAGAGGGTAGAGACAGAGAGAGAGAGAGAGATAATCAATTCATGGAAAACAAGTGTCTTACTTAAATGAACGAGAATCGAGTCGAAAAGCAGTTTTTAAAAATACGCTTTTTATTAATTTTACTTATTTGTTGAGATATGAGAACTTAATAGATCAGTCGAAAATTCTTGACAATCATCACACGGCCCTAGTCGCCAATTTTCCAGGTGGATATTGCGAAAGGTAAGACACAAAAATTGAAAATGAGTTTGAAGCTGATTAGATATTT